AGCAGCCCTCATTTGTCTGTTTTTTGGGAACCCTTGGTTTGCTGTAGCTTGCACCTCTTGAGGAACCCTTTCCTCTCATTAGATACTTCTTGAAGTCTTTTGTGATCATAGCCATTTCATCCTCTTCTAGATCAGCACCTTCAGTGATTCTGAGTGCCAGGCTCCTTTCTTTCTCGGGTGCATCCATCTTCATGGTTTGCCTTCTAAGTTCATAGGCAGTGAGATTTCCAATTAGCTCGTCCAACTTAAGAGTGGCAATGTTCTTCGATTCCTGAATTGCAGTGATTATGCTTTCCCAAGTGACTGGCAGAACCCTTGTCAAAATTTTCTCAACTTTATCTTCTTCAAGAATAACCCTTCCGAGAGACTTAAGTTCATTTTTCTAGTGTGGTGAACCTTGTATACATCTCTTGGATGGTTTCGCTCTCCTTCATGGTGAAATTATCATATTGAGAATACAACAGTGTTCCTCTTGACCTCTTCACTTGAGGTTTTCCTTCATGAGCTACTTGCAAAGTGTCTTAGATTTCCTTAGCAGTGGTACATCTTTGAATTCTACTGTACTCATCTGGACCAAGTCCATACACAATCCATTTCTTGGCCCTAGCATTCTTTTCCCGTTTCCTCAAGTCCTCAGCATTGCAGTCAGCTCTTATTTTTGGCACATCTACTCCTTCAGCATTCTTCTTCATGGTAGACAGGGGACCATCAGTGACAATGTCCCATAGCTCATAGTCTTCTCCGATGATGTGATCTCTCATCCTGTTTTTCTACCAAGAGTAGTACTGGCCATTAAAGAGTGGAGGCCTAGCAGTGGATTACCCTTCCTAGTTTCCAGGTGGTGCACTCATCTTGATATGTTCCTAAGGTGTTAGCCTCTTCTAGGATAACTCGCTCTGATACCAATTGATGTTTTAACTTCAATACCACAGAAGAGGGGGGTGATTTGTGTGGTGCCCAATTTTTCGCTTAAACTGATATAGGAAGGACCTGGTTCTTCTAAGTGTTCCTTAACCTACTATTGCAGAAATAGTAAATGAGGAAAGTAAAGAACACAAGTATTTTACGTGGAAACACCTGGCTCAAAAGGTGAAAAAACCACGACCTACTTCCCAGTAGGATTTTTCCCAAACTCTTCACTAAATCACTGAGCCAAAAACTGCATTTACAAAAATTCTTTTGTAAACCTAGAACTAACTCTAATCCCGTTGTAACACACAGCATCTAATTGTTGCGACAACTTCAAGTTAACTCTAACTTGAATATTCTGAGTACTTATTACAATTGCCTTTAGATAAAGCTGAAAGGTACAATATGAAAACACCTACTACAATTGAACTAGAATAAAAGACAGACACTTGGAACTGGTTCTTCTATCTGGTTCATGTAGCTTCAGGTTTGCACACTTGAATTACATACGAACTGCTTGCAAAATGCCTAGCTATTTTGCTCTCAATTCTTGTTTAACTTTTGCGTTTGTGCATTACCTGTAAAAGAGAACAACACTGATATTTATAGAGTTAGTAAATGAAGATTAACTAGAATTCTGATGCTACTCTTCCTTGGTGGAAGAGTTCTAGTTAATCTCAACATCTAACTCCTTCCCTATCTTGGACAATGTTCTCTTTGAGTAAAGAGTCCTTCTCCTTATCAATTATGCAACCTTTTCGATCAGGAGATATCACTTCCTTCAAGTTAGGTTTATCTCCTTCATGTGCATCCCACATGCTCAAATCTGCCCATATCTGTGCTCACAAGGGATGGACCTGGTTCATGCCTGAGTTCCTTTGTCAGTCTTCAAAACTAAACTTTACTTGGGCCAACAAAAACAGTAGATGGTAATGCTTGACAAACTATAGGATAAGATGCATGAGCTAGACGAACACGCCAAACACCAAGAAAGCTGCAAAGGAAGCCGGGGATGGTAGTCTTGTCACAGGGAGCGAATATAATCCTCTATTAATCCGTCCTGTGTGTAGTGGTGCCCTCGTTGCCAAATCCTTAATCAAAAAATGGTTAGGAAAGAATTCAACAGAAACATTGTAGATTTAGTAAAGGAACTAATGGAAACTAAATTTTGAGTAGCAAAAGGGACATGAAGAATATCTTCAAGTTTGAATTTTTTGTCAGAAGCAACAATAGAACTTGCACATGAGAGATTGGTAATTTAGAGCCATTACCTAGAGTTACTTCCTTCAGACCTTGATATTCAGAGTGAATGCCAAGGTTATCTAGATTAGATGTCAGATGATGCGTGGTGCCACTATCCATCAACCAATTTTGGGTAGGTGAATTTTGGGTGTTTTCTAGGTTAGAGACAGGTCATCCAAAAATTCGAGTGCCATTAGATGTCTTGGGTGATGGGCAAACTCGTGCGATATGGCCTTTTCCTGCACAATTGTGACAAATAATTGTTGACATATCTGAGGTTGAAGACAGAACGTTGGAGGATTGAGTGGTGTTCTGGAAACCACGTTGTTGAGTCATCGGAAGAAAACCATAATTTTGAGAGTGTCCACGACCTCTATTACCTCTACCTATTCCACGGCCACGAGTGGGGGCAACAGAACTCTGAGTAAATTGTGCTGTGGATGTTATGACATTAAGAGTCTCATCTCTCTTTAGTTGTCGTTCTTCATTCAACAATAATCCATATAAAGAATCAAACGAGATATCCTCTTGACGCGATTCAAGAGATCTTGTAAAGGGACGATAGGCTGGTCCCAGTCCAGCAAGAACAAATTCGACTAAGTTATCATTAGGAACCGGATGCTGCAATGCAGCCAACTTGTCCGCAATTTCCTTTGCCTTTTGCACATAAGACTCAATACTAGAATTGTCTCTCTGCAATGTGTGTAGATGAGTTTTCAACTCACGAATCTGGGTCTTCGAACCTGAGGCATAGGCAGCAACTAGTTTGTTCCAAGCCGTTTGGGCCGTCTTAGCGCCAACCAGTTGGGGCTATATTCCTTCCGACACGGAAGCAACAATCCAACTTAACACAAGTTGATCTTCTCTTATCCAAACGTGATAATCTGGGTTAGGTTGATTACTAGCCAGAAACTGATCTGGAATCACCTGACTACCATCAATATGGTGAACAAGTCCACAACCTCAAACCATCGGAAGAAACTGTGTCTTCTACAACAAAAAATTTGACAATGTAAGTTTAACCGGTGGTTGATGAGCAAGATTAGGAGACGGTAGAGTGGTGACCATGGAGGTCTGTGTTCCAGCAGCTGTTCCTGAGGAACCTGATGAGATGTTGTCGTCCACCATTGAAGTTGTTTCAAAGCTTCTGCGGTTTTTATTTGGGTTGTTTTAACCTCTTAGAGCTCTGATACCATGAAAGGCTTTCTGATTAATTGTATTGAAAATACTCTGCCATATTTATACATACAAATCATGTAAGAGTCCTAAAATAAGTTATATACAGAGGATAACAATCCTATGCAAACTCGGACACAAGTAGACACAACCAATTGACAATATATTACAACTGAACGCTATCCTTCTTCAGTTTTGATAGTGCCCCGCCCCGGGTCGAGCCCCGAGACGAGTCCCAAAAAAGCCTTTTAAAGAGAAGTTTCAGTTCAAATAAAACGTATTTTATTGGAGAAACAAAATCCTCCATCCTTCATTGTGAATAATAGAGAACGCAGCTTAGACTATAGCAAAATGTTTTGGTATTCTAGGAATTCATTGTTGTTAGCATGCATCCATTTAGCTTGTTAATTAAGTTTAGAAAGCAATATATAGGAGAGATGTTCATTCGTTTTAGTAGCAATTGGATTAGACATGGGTGGGAAAGATGATGAAATTTGGGAAGCTTGATACAGAACTTTAGTCCATATATATACTATTGAATAGTCTTGCTTATGGCTACCCGCTTTCAGGGTGCTGTTGGCAAGAGGCCAGAGACGGGGCTTCGTTTGTACGCAACCACTTAGCCATCCACATGCAGCACCTCTCCTCTCTTCCTAAAGTCTTCCAACTTGAAGATGATCCAAACTGCATGAGGATCTTAACATATATAGTTACCGGAGCAGAACTGGAAGCTAGTTGGGGACTACGACTCCGTTTCTCTACTGTTGTGGAGTAAAGAACCCTGAGTGGGACGGTTGGCCCGCAAATCTGGACTGATATCAACTCTTGTCAGCCACCATTTTTCGACTGTCCAGAAACCACCTCCACAGCCAGCTGATGTAAACATATATTCTGCCATTTACCCTGGTGGTCCTCCAGTTCCTGTGCAAACCCCTAAGCTATTGAAACTTGTTGATACAACGGAGATGACCACAAGAAGCTCCTGGTTATTGGTCGAGAAAGGAAGGATCTCCGTGAAGGTCAAACATTCATTGTTGGCTGTAATACAGCCTGATCATGACCAATTACTTGAATGAATACTTCTGCTTTAATACTTCTTGTACAAGGAAGCATAATCTACAGGGAGGGATGGGTCGACAGTTAATTTTTCCTGATATTGATATTCCAGCTGTATTGATGAAAAAGCCAAAGGGTGGATGAATTCAGTGCAGGATGAAGCTGCTGGTATGTGTTTTCAATGTTGTCTAGATTATTTGGTCATTTTTGTAGTGCGGTTAATGTATATCTGGACAGAATTGGCGGTAATATACTTCTCTTATTTCGTTTATCAAAATCTCTTTTAGATAAATTAAATTGCTGAAAAAGCCAAAGGGTGAATGAATTCAGTGGGGGGGGGTTGCTTGTATTTGCTGGCTATGAGCATGCCGGTGCTCTGCATGGAGTAGAATGATATAGCACAAGCTTAATTACAATAACTATGCAAAGCACTAGATGGTATCAGTTCAGACCACACTCCAAGATAACTTAGTCCCGGAACAACAAACTTAAATTTTTAAGCTCAGCCTATGGGAGTTTTGTTGACATCAAAGATTTTTCCTTTGTTTCTCTACATTGCAAAATTCAGTTTTCCTTCTGTAGCTTCCGTTTCCGGTCAGAGTAGATCATTCATAGGATGAAAAATTCGACGACAACTTGATCATTTCATAAGAGTTTAGTATGTAATAACAATGATTAGTACTACTTTAGAATCATTGACCTAAGGGAAGGCAATACTATATATGATCATGGGAAGGCCAATAAACTGCTTCCCTTGGACAAGGCAGTGGAGCAGGCTGGGCAATGAAGGTTGGATATTGCTGTCCTGGCATCAATACAGTGTAATCCGATGCATATGATGTTGTTGATACCTGAAAGAGATAATATAGTAGTAATCACTCAGATACTACGACTTCAGAAGCATATCTTTTTAATTTACTTGTGTTGCTATATTTCATGTTCAGTATTACAAGGTATTCATCAGTTCATCCTAGAGGACCTAAGTTCCGGGATCAAGAAACATATGTTGCATAAAAAGAAAAAGGAACAAGCGATTCATTGGTATATTTGTTGATACAAAACTACAGAATACTCATGTGACACCAAGATCTCTCACTCTAATTTTGCCGAAAACTTAGCCCAAGAGTATATAGGATTGGCATGTATGAAACAAGAGTAATTCCTCTATTTCAAGAGTAGTGATCAGAAACTTACTCTTTGGGAACCTGAAAGTTTCTCATGTGGCCCTGATTCCAAGGAACTGTCGACGCTATCTGAAGTAGGCTTAAAGAGATGCTCAAAGAGAGCCATGATAAGAAACATGGATATGAGAATAGCTGTAGCTACAAATCCAAATGGAATGGCATTCGTCGATGACCCTAAATTCTTCCCTTGTGCTTGTGATTCTGAACTTGTGTATATATTCCATGGCCTTGGACTTTCTGAACCAAACTCACTCATTTCCTCTTACTTCACTGATCAAACCTCTAGAAATGGAGCCAAAGGCCTCTATCTCTGACTACTACTAGCTTATAATTAATCCACTACTTGAAATGGATACAAGGCCTGTCCTGGTAGGAAAAATAGAGCAGTTGTTAATTAAGTACCAGAAGATCATTTAAGCTTTATTGCATATGATATGCTAACTAGGAAAATAGAGAACTAACATGCTACAAATGTTTGAATTATACTGCTAATGGTAAATAATGTTTATATCAGTATATATACCAAATGATAATTCTCAGAGAAGGTATTTAGCGTAGTTATGGATAACTTTTCCTTTCTAACACAAACAATCTACACTACATTATCAAGTACCAGTAGGCAGGGGCGGATGTACACTTAACGAAGCGGTGTCACGCGACACCGCTTCGTTATTTTTTTTACTAAATATATGTATTAATATTGTGAGGAAACGGATAGGTAGGAAAAAATGACACCACTTGACATAAACTGTCTCTTAGTGTGTTGGTTATGTGTTTGATTTTGCTCTAAAAGGTCAGGGGTTCCAACCTCAACTACACTTATTTGATAGAGCATGTTAGTTATGATAACTGAAGTTATTATTTTCGTACTTCTATAAATTTCGACACCACTTACAATTTCTTTTGCGTACTCCCCTGCAAGTAGGTGTTATCCACTTTGGCCTGTTTATGCTGTATATGTATCAGCTGCATCATAAAATATTTCCCATTTTTTAACACTATTAACACAATGGCACTGAGCAAAATTTTGTATTATGATACTAAGAAAAGAACCATATTGAGATGATAGCATGAAAGTTCACAGAAAATAAACACAAACAGGAAAACAAAGGGAATAATTAAGTTGAATAGAAGAATCAAGAAATGTGATAAAATTCAGACTATCACCTTAAAGAAGGACCAAAGGAATCTCAGGATTTGCCAATTTAGAATGTGAAGAACCAATCTATTTTTTGCAGGAAAAATTGCAGAGAAAAGGGCTTTAATTTAATCCTGAGAAACAGGAAGAGCTAATATAATGTCAGAGAGTTCATATTCTGTGATTGGAAGAAAAAGCCAAACAGATGAGTCCAAATTAATTATTGAAGAATGCAGCTCAAGCTATAACTAGCTTTATACCTAGCAGCAAAAAGAAAATATAAAGACAAAGTTGTATGGTAAAATATTAGATACTAGTATATTTTTGTTTTTGTTTTTGTTTCTTTCCCTGTTCTTTGATGTTCACAACTCTGATGCCTAACTTAATCAATACTACTATACTATCTTTGGACATTTGAGGAAGCAAACTTTAATGAAAGAAAAAGTGTTGGCCCTCTTGTCCAAACAAGACAGACAAACGGTGACCCTCTTGATGCTTGCAAAAGAATTCACTACTCTTTACATAATCATTATTAATGACATTCCCTTAGCTAAATTCAACACAAATTTTCATCTACAGAATAGTAAGATAAAAAAAAAAAAAAAAAATGATATTTTGGGGTTTGATAGATCCGCCAATAGTGCGGAGAGAAGATGAACCACCATGTTATAAATGGAAAAGGGCCAATAACAATTGAACATACACTTATTATACCAAGAACTCTCATCGATGTCACTCCACTATAAACCTCGTTTACATAACTTTTTAACCTAGAAGTTCAAGTGTTCCCATCCTTCCATCCGTAATGATTTTTGTTAACACTCTCCAAGCATTTCTAGCTAGTCATTATTTAACATTTGATTCGTTTCTTGAAAATTTAAAAATATATTTTTAGAAAAAGAGAAAAGTTAAGTGTGTATAAAGAATATAGAGTCAAAGGTGTATTAATATGCAATTCGTCATCAAAAAGATATTGCCTTAACGAACATGCATATGAAGTTCGCATAGAAATAGATGGTCAAAATGCCAAAAACAAAAAGTATTCAGCACTCAGAGCTGGCAAAACATACAAAATGATCTTCCACTAGAGGAAGCATAAGCTGTCAAATAAAACTTATAAAAAAAAAACATACAAAAGGCTGCTGCAGAGAGAATTATAATAATACAAATAAAATGCCAGTAAACTTTAATGGTGCATCGCATTACTGAGCAGTCGAATCACCTCAGACAAGGAAAAAGGGAAAAAAAAAGAAGCAGGTAGAGGAATTTCTAAAGGAGATTATCTGTTTTTGATATCGTAAGCTTGTAAGGCACTAGACTCAATTTTAACGATCACTCATGTTATTTTGTCCAGAATCATATTGACACTCTGATATCACTTGTTCATTTTACTAGCTCGTACCTATATACTTTTTTATGTTTTATATTGTTTTAAATGGTGGTGTCCGCAAAGCTTGCACGCACTTGACTATTTTACCCGGTATCTGCTACTCGACTACTTTGCTTCATTTAGCTCTCTGTTTTCCTTTAAAAACTCTCACTACCTAGTCCAATACTTAGCTTGTGGCAGTAGCGAAGCCAGGAATTTCCTCAAGGGTGTTCAAACTTGAAATAAGTAAAAAAAAAATTCTGACAAATTAAAATGTGTTCAATATATGTTATGTACCACTAAAACTTAATATTTTAACTATATACGCAATGTAATTTTCCGACAAAGGGTGGTCAATTGACCACCCTAAGCAAAGTGTGGCTTCACCCATGTTTGTGGCAGAAGCACTAGCAGTAGTAGCTGAATAATTTGCATAAAAGTTTACGTTCTGCAATGCAAAATAATCAATGGATGTAAATGAAGATAATTTCCTTTTAAAAAGCAATGAGGCTATTATGAGTATGTAATATACGATCCACAAGGTAATCATAGGAAGAGAGAGGAAGGAACCATTTCTTTTTCTCCTTTTCATTCATTGAGGCTTTTTTAACAAGATAATTAATGACCATTGTCTCTGAAAAACTATTCAGAGTTAGTTTTATCAATCGTGTGTACTTGATGTCCAATGAATGCCGATAACATTCAATCGCCCAACCCCCTTTAAACCACCAACCCCCCCCCCAAAAAAAAAAAAAAGATAGGAAACTAAAGAATAAGAAAATAAGGCAAAATTCATAAAAAGTAGCATAAATAATCATCTAATTTATTCCACCAACATTTGTGTATACGGTCGAAATCGGGCGTGCCCGATTTTGTGAGCTCGAGGATCACTTCGAGAACAAGTTCGAAATGGACCGGGCTCGAGCCCGAGGGCGGAGTACAAGACTCGAAGAGCTCGATGAACACCGATGCCAAGTATGACCAACCTCGAGATAATATCGTTATGGTTTCATAACAGAAAGAGCGAGATTCTCGCAGTGGCTCTAAGATCACGGCGTAAATTCCGGAACGGATTTGTACTAGGCGGTTAGACAACTGTATAATAAGATTCCGTACCACAATTAGAAGTGTACCTTATTTAGTATTCCCCTACTATATAAAGGGGACCCCAATCAATTGTAACGCATCATTCATTGAGAAGAGAATGTACATACATCACTTTCTTGCTTACTGTTCATCTAAATCATCTTATTATTATTTTATTGTCCTTGTTCATTTACCTCGAGGTCGCCTTGTCGAGATTAGCTCAACACTGGTTTGATTTACCTTACTCTTTAATTTATACACTTCACTCCTTGTTTATCAGTTAGTATTGGATTGAATCACATATCTTTAAAACCACAAAACAAATTTAATTGTTACTCAAATTTTAGGGTAAACAGTTTGGCGCCCACCGTAGGGCTAAAGATAATAGTGATTATTTCAGTACTGATTCTCATAACACACATTATTTTCACACTTGTTCTTGTCAAGAATTTTTGTTCTCAGGTTAAAACATGTCAAACTCACAAAACGCACCCATACACGGCGATGATGGCCTTGGATTCCATGGGGAAAACGATAATGTAGTCGCTCCAGGAGCCGGTGTACCACCGATTAACCCTGGAGAAATGCCGATTGCAGAACCAGTCGATGTTAGTTCGCACATTGCTTTGAATGCGGACTTAGGCGCAGACCTCGGAGGAAGCATACGCCGGGAAGTCCGATCTGGTGGTCAAGGAACACAGGGTGTAGGAGACGGGGGGAGTTAGCCTCCAGGTAATATTCGAGATGCTACAAGATTAGAAGGTTGCTATCGCTCAGCTTCAAAGTCAACATAAAACTCCGAGTGTGGTCGAACCAGAAATCACTCGCCGTACCGAGCTAGTGCTAGAAAGGTCGAACACTAATGGATCGGGGACTGATCCTACAATTATGAAGATGCTCGAGGAGCTCACCAAAAGAATCGAGTCGGGAGAGAAAAAAATCAAAGATAATGACAAGAAAGTGGAAACATACAACTCTCGTGTTGATCAAATACCGGGGACACCCCCGATTTTAAAAGGTTTGGATGCCAAAAAGATCGTACAAAAGCCATTTCCTCAGAGTGCGACTTCGAAGCCCATTCTTAAGAAGTTCCATATGCCAGATATACCTTAGTACAACGGGACGAGCGATCCTAATGAACACATCACCTCGTACACATGCAGGATTAAAGGAAACGACTTAAATGATGATGAGATCGAGTCAGTTTTGTTGAAAAAATGTGGGGAAACTTTGTCAAAGGGAGCAATGATTTGGTATCACAACTCGCCACCAAATTCTATCGATTTGTTTGCTATGTTAGTAGATGCCTTTGTGAAGGCACATGCCGGGGACATAAAGGTCGCAACGAGGAAATCGAAAGTTTTTAAGATAAGACAGAGGGGTGATGAAATGCTAAGGGAATTCGTATCCCGATTTCAGATGGAGCAAATTGAATTACCGTCGATCACAGATGATTGGGCCGTTCAAGATTTTACCTAGGGTTGAACGAGTGGAGTTCGATAGCGTCACGATAGTTGAAGCAAAATCTGATCGAGTATCCAGCTGTAACTTGGACAGATGTGCATAATCGTTATCAATCAAAGATCAAGGTCGAGGACGACCAGGTGGGAGCCCCCTCGGGTTCAGTTCATCCAAATAGATTGGCAGTTAAGGCCCCGAGGGAAACCGACCGGGAACCAAGGTCAAATAGAGAACGGTATCAGCCATATGTCGTAGATCGAAGAAATAATGGTTCGGGGCGCAATCCTCCTTGGAATGATCGAGGGCAAAATTCTCGGGGACTTATGAGTAAGAATGGTTTTGATAAACATACCGACCCCGCGGAAGCACCTCGATTATCGGAGTATAATTTCAGTGTCGATGCATCGGGGATTGTGTCGGCTATCGGAAGGATCAAAGACACTAGGTGGCCCAGACCTATACAAACCGATCCTTCTCAAAGAAACCCAAACTTGATTTGCAAATATCATGGCACACATGGCCATAGGACCGAAGACTGCAGACAACTGAGGGAGGAGGTAGCTCGATTATTCAACGAGGGTCTTCTTCGAGATTTCCTCAGTGATGGCGCCAAGAATCACTTTAGAGAAAGAGACGCCAACAGAAAGAATAAGCAGGAAGAACCGCAACATGTAATTCATATGATCGTTGGAGGGGTCGATGTTCCACAAGGGCCTATATTCAAACCTACCAAGGTGTCTATCACCAGAGAAAAGCGGACTCGGGGTTATGTGCCTGAAGGCATCCTATCGTTCAATGACGAAGAAGCGGAGGACATTTCTCAGCCGCACAATGACGCCCTGGTAATTTCTAATTTGTTAAATAAAATTCAAGTTAAACGTGTTCTAGTTGATCCAGGTAGCTCAGCAAACACAATCAGATCGAGGATCGTAGAGCAGCTCGGCCTGCAGGACCAAATTGTGCCCGCATCTCGAGTCTTGAATGGCTTCAACATGGCAAGTGAAATGACGAAGGGGGAGATAATCCTACCAGTAAACGTGGCTGGGACCATAGAAGATACAAAATTCCATGTCATCAAAGGTGACATGAGATATAATGCACTGCTCGGGAGGCCATGGATCCACAACATGAGGGCAGTACCATCGACCCTTCATCAAATGATGAAGTTCCCGACAATGGATGGTGTGAAAACAGTCTACGGTGAACAACACGCGGTGAAGGGAATATTTGTAGTCGATGAGGTGACACCGACATCAGCACCTTCGACCTCGGAAAAATTGAGCACCAG